CTAGTCGCGAGGGAGAGGAAGCTGGTCGTTGCTACGTGACGTCATTACCCAGCTCCCACAGCCACCATTTCTGGGCTGGGCTGGGCTGTGGGCTGCATTTTGCGCCATGGGGTCTTGGCAGCGTTGGCTGTGATTTGGTGGGGCGTCGCTCCGGGGTGGTGGTGGGGCCTGTGTTTCACTTGGGGGAAGCCGAATATTGGTTTGTCGGCGCCAGGTCTGTGGTGCCATTTATTTTTACATGGCCAGTGTGCACCATGGCAGTTCCTGCATTGAGCATCTGCCTCCTGGTGGTCAGTGCGCATCATAGCTACTGGTCGAATGGATGGATACTTAGCCTTTTATATATATAGATTTCTTTAAAAAAATAGATTATATCAAATAGTAGAGAAAAGAGGAAGAAAGCCACAGATTACATTATCTCAAGATCCAGAAAATTATATTACTAAATATATTTAAGATAGATATGTTTTTACTAGAGGCCAGGTGCACAGATTCATGCACCTGTGGGGTCCCTCAGCCTGGCCTGGCCTGGCCTGTGGACATCCCTCGAGGGCCGCCAGATTGCAAGAAGGTGCAGGCCAGTCTGTGGGACCCTATCGGTGCACAATCAGGGCCAGGGAGGGATCGTGGGAAGGCCCCAGGACATATCCAGCCCATCTCACCCAATCCTGACTGGCAGGACCCCAGCAGCAAGCTAACCTACCAGTTGGAGAGTCTGCCCCCTGGTGGTCAGTGCACATCATAGCAACTGGTTGAACAGTCAAACGGTCAGACACCTAGTATATTAGGCTTTTATTATATAGGATATGTCCACATATTTAAAGTGCATACAATTTGTAGAAAGGTAAATACCAGTATTGGGATCTGGATTCCAAAAACCGAAGTTCTGATTGCATTTCCATTATTTACAACAGGGATGGGAAACCTTTTTCTGCCAAGGGCTATTTGGATATTTATATCATTCATGTGCCATACAAAATTATCAACTTAAAAAGTAGCCTGCTATATTAGGTAACACTTAATTAACTTACGCCTAGTACCTTGGCAAGCCAGACCAAATGATTTTGAGGGCCTTATATGGCCCGAGGGCTGGACATTCCCCACCCATGATTTACAAGCTATGTGACCAGGGACAAGATACAATTTCCAACTGCCTCAATCTGCACATTCATGAAAGGAGGATAAGGAATCTACCACAAAAGGGTGTGGTGAGAACTAAATGAGTGGTAATACATACAGAGCCTAGAACACTGTGTGGCAAATAGTAAGTGCTTAATCAATATTGGCTCCTATTATTTATAAGCTATGGGGTTTATAACATGAAAAATGACTAATTTCATTAATATGAAACTTTGCTTTACGCTTTTAAAATGAAAGGTTCTGGATTTTATTATTTGATCTACATGCAATTATTAATCTATATAATTGAAACCCTGAGTTTAGAAGTATTCTAAATTAATTTTGTGAGAAGGTGGCTCAAATCATGACAGTTACTTTCTTAAATGTGCAGTAAGATCCACTGTCTCTTCTTTATAGGAGCCGGGAGTAGATGTGAGATTTGGTTGCAAATAATAACAAACAATATTTTAAAGACAATCAATAACCTACGATAGAATTTGCTTTCTCTCACATTAATTTCAACAGCATTGCTCACTCCTGAATCTCCAGTGAGAAGACTGCCCAACACAAGTGCTAGAAAAAAGCAAAACCTATTGAATCAACTAAAAAAACTGTACGTAACATACTTTAAATGAGGTGACATTTAACCCACTGAGGCTCCTAATGACTGACCATAACTATAATTTCAGCTCCAGCTGTGTATTTAGGAACTTTACTTATCTGAGATGATAAAAGGAGCAAACTATTATAGCTCCTGCCACATTTATCTACTTAGGTATCACACACTATGCATTTATTAAGAAGTATAAATGAGTCACAGGGAACATTTTATCTACTAGAAGGAACACTAACAACTCAATGGAAGCTTATAAGAAGTTGATCTTTAATCAGAGTTCTCAAATAAACTTATCATTTCTATGAAACCTGACTATAAATGACAACTACTTTCAAATAAGCCAACTACTGAAATTAAGCAGCTGCAGGCATCATGAAGAAATGTGACAGTCTAAAGGAGATTCATACTATTTCATTTGGTTATGATGCCATTTGAAATTAGGGTAAAAAGACATTTAAGACAACTGATGTCTTAAAATTTAAACAGCAGTTCAAAGAAACATTCCAACATTGGTGTAAAGTCAATTTTTGTTAATAAATCATACTTTCTCGCTGGTTTCTGTTTCAAAAATAGAAACATGCTCTCACGCACAGAATCCCCCTAAAAGATTAAGAGGAAAACATACCCAGAACACACCATCCCAACACAATGTGGTGTTGGTAGGGTGGGCCACACAGTGCGGCATCAGCGTGAGCTGGTGTCAGACCCAGTCCCTCCCTCATTCAACATTGTATAAGCACCTTACTGTTTCCTAGAAGAATGTGACAATGAACAAACCACTTACTTAGTGGCCTTAACAAAGTGTAAAGTGAGATCACAGCTGTTTCACAGCACACTGTGAGGGTCAGATTAAGCCAATAAAATAGTACATGTCCAAGTGCCAAACTAAATGTCTTAATCACAGCTGAATTTCATTCCCAACTGTTTTGTCACTAGCCTACACTTAAAATATGCCAAAACTTCTTCTAGATGCTCAGATTGCTTCTCTACTATTCTCTCCTTCCCTCTCCAGGAAACAGCTATTTTAAATGCTTGATAAGATCTTAACTGCCCACACATATCATTTAAGCTTACATTCAGCATCTCCACCCTCAATGAAGTCTGGCTGGAAAGACAGACAATGCAACAATACTGTGAGGCATGTGCTGAAAGATGGCTGTACAAAGTGCTATGGGAACACCAAGAATGGAATGAGAATGTGAGAAAAAATCATAGTTTCAATAAGACTGTGACATCTGAAAAGAATCTTAGAAGGAAATTATTTTTTTTAAGGCAGATAAACAGCATATTCAAAAGAACTTAATGTTTGGATGTTTAAAGTTTGACAAAGCCGATTTTTATTTCAAAGATACTGTAGGATACAATAAGATGAAAAAAGTAACTCATCCATAATGGACAAGCCATGCAATATAACTAATAGATATACTGTCCTACTGTTGGATGTCCACAAGGGCTTGCCAGTCTAAAAAGCTCAAAATATAATGATCCAATACTAATATGTATCAGTTCCTATGGCAAGATATTGGGGAAACAACAATAAGTAAGATATACATGGTCTCAGGAACTTTACATTCAACTGGACAAGACAGAAAATAAACAGGAAGCATCTCCCTACCATCCCCAGAAGTCCTATTAACCTACCACTTTGGACAAAACTAGGTACCTTGTCCAACTGATCCAAAGACAAATGATCAGTGGTCTATGAGATAGTTCTACCCAAATATAATGTCCTAATATGGGGGT